AAGCCCTGGCTGATGTTTTCTTTCCAGGTGAAATTATGACCCTGCTGGTAAAGTGAGGTGCGCGCCAAGAAGAGTCTCGCTAAAGAGCTGTGGTGACCATTCTGCAATAGAAACGCGAAGAAAAAAAGATGTCTTGTCTGTCGTTTACCCCTGCACTCTACCTTGATGCCCACTCCGTCTTTGTCGTTGGACTGCTGCTGCTCGTCCACAGGGGGCCCTCCGAGGTCAGCTGCCAGAATGACACAGAGCCGATCGTGTTGGAGGGAAAGTGTCTGGTGGTGTGCGACTCCACCCCGTCGGCGGAGCCATCAGGTAATGCCCTGGGCATGTCAGTGAGGTCAGGAACTGGGCGGGTGGCATTTTCGGCCATTCGTAACACCAACCACGAACCGTCAGAGATGAGCAACCGAACCATGACCATCTACTTTGACCAGGTGGGTTTTAAGGCTTGTTTTTGGAATAGTGTGGTGCAAGTTAAGGTTTTGGTTGAATTTCACGAGTTCAACCAAAAATGACGCTTCACCTTCTGCTGCACTCTAAAAACGGTCAACAGACACTTATGTTTCAAAGGACATAGACCACATTTTGTATTAAATCTGGAGAGGATCCAAATCAAGGACACTGCAGGCAGAAAGCTAGTATTTTATTTTAAAATGTCAAACAGAAGTCCAGTCAACACAGAGCAACATGCAGGGAAGCATAGACACTGTGACAAAGACTGAGAGCTGATTAGGGAATGGCCAACAGGACAAGGAAAGACAGTAAACAAAACTAACACAGGAGAGGAAAGAAAACAAACTTTCAAAGTAAAACAGGAAACAAGCAAAAAGGAATGATACAGAAATTAATGCAAATATTAAATAAGCATCACACAAGGAAACAGCGCAAAGAAAACATGCTTTGTTTGGACACAGAAAGATGGAAACCACTGACAACACATTTGTATACCAGACCATCTTTCTATCTTTGTTTCAAAATTTCCAACTTAAAATTAAGGAAGCTTTGAAATAAGTAAAAAATAAAGCGTATTTCTAAACCCCCTAA